GGGGTGGAGCTGGCCAGAGGGGAGGGGCCTCGGGCAGTTGGCTGATTGGCCCCATCCCCTGGTTGAACTCACAGTCGAACTCCCGGTTGAGGGGAAAATTTGCATATTAGCCTTTTATTATATAGGATATATAATGAAATATATATTAGCCTTTTATTATGTAGGATATATAATGGAATATTATACAGGATATATAATGGGATATTATCCTATATAATAAAATCCTAATATGCAAACTGTCCCCTTGACTGGGAGTTTGACTGAGAGTTCGACCAGGGCTGACCGGCCAACCTCCTGCATCCTCTCCCCCTGGCTGGCCCGGCCCGACCCCACCTGTGCACAAATTTGTGCACTGGGCCTCTAGATCAGCTATAAAAAAGAATAAAATCTTGCCATTTGTGACAACATGGGTAGACCTCAAGGATATTATGCTAAATAAATAAGTCAGACAGAGAAAGACAAATACCATATGGTTTCATATGTGAAATCTAAAAATAAAAAACTAAGCTTATAGATACAGAGAACAGAATAGCAGTTGCCAGAGGTGGGCCCAGGGGACGGGAGGTGGGAGAATGGGTGAAGAGAATCAACAACAACAAACAGCAGATTAAAAACAAAGATTTAAAAAAAACAATCCCAGAGGCTTCTTATAAAAAGAAAACAGATCCCTAGGGGCTACCAAGTTGGACCTTCTGAGTCAGATTCTCCAAGAGTGGGGCCTGGAACTCTTTAACAAACTCCCCAGGGGATTCTTATGAATAGCAGCCAGGTCCAATCTCTCTTCTTTTCCTGGGGAAACTGAGGCCCAAAAAAGCTTTGAGCCAGTCATCAGCTGCACCAAAATCAGAAATTAGATCTTTGGACCCACAGTTAGATGTTATTTCCACAAAAAGACCAGGAGCCTATAAGACCCAAAAGAATTGCCCATCATTTTCTTTGTTTTAATTTTTTTAAAATCAAAGCACACAATTTAAAGGGTCAAATAAAGGTAGCTTTACAAGGTTTGTGTGAGAAAACACAGCTCCTTGTCCACACCCTGCCATCTCCCCCTCCCCACTTTCAACTCTTAACTGATTCTTTGGGTATTGAAGGAAGCCAGAATGTCACCCAAAATATGTTTCTTTGACATAAAAATGTTATTTCGAGCTGAAGGCAATTAAGAAGCAGCAAATGCAGGAAGAGCTTTTCTTCCCCCTCTCTCTTTTCTGTCTAAAGGCAGGATATAAATTCTCCTTTTCTTGAGATTGATTCTTATCCTTCCGGAGATACCGCAAGTGAGCCGTACTCCATTAGTTCCCTCCCATTATTTACCTTCCTAGTTTGTCGTTTTTGGAAGCCTAAAACTGATTTCCTTTGTCTTGTTATCCCTATACAAATGTGTTCTTTGTTGATGCTACACAAGCCAGAGTTCTAAACCCCTGCTTTCAGCTACTTTTCACGGAGGGGTCTCCCACATAATGTGTGCTGCATATATTAATAAACTGTTTTTCTCTTATTAATTGGTCCAGCTGAAAACCCAAGATGAGTGAAGTTTTGCCTCCCCTATAGTATTTGCTCCCACCCTTGGTATTGTTGCATTTTTTACAACAGGCATGCATTGCTTTGTAGACTTGGATTGCCAGGTTTAGCACAGGTCTGGGATGCTGGGCATTGCAAAGTGCCCCAGTGGTCACTGGGCACAGGCCACCAGCTCCTCCAGGGCTTGCTCGCGGCGGTTGCCATGGACCAGCAGCACCTCCTTGATCCGGTCCTGCTGGAAGCCCATGTCGCTGAACTGTTCCCAGAGGCGCAGAAACTCCCCTGCCTGAGGAAGGGAAGGCAGAGAGGGCACTGAGGCTTAGCCTCTACTCTGGGGAGCCCCCTCCCTGGTGTCCTCTACTCCCAGAAAGCTGTGGCCCTCACAGGCCAGGTAAACCTGATCCTGGGCCATACCTGCATTTCCTTTGTACCTGTGAGGTGACATGGGCCAAGGAAGGAGGCCCCAGCCGGGCCACTGACTTGGTCCTGGCTTTACTCCCCCACTCCGGCTCTCTCCTGACTACCTGTGCTTGGGGGCTGGGGCCAGAAGAGGAAAGTCAGATACTGGTGCCCAGAGGATGTGTAGTCCAGGGTCTCGGCCAGGCCCCAAACTCTGCCAAGGTTTCACATAGTACAGCTTTGGTGCCCCTTCCTCCTCTGGCACCAGCGCTTTAAACATCCCTGCTTTTCTTCCTTCCTCCTCCTCTATTTCTCCCACCCTTCTGTCCCTTCATCAGCCTCTGTGAAGGGTTGCTCTCGAGCCTGGCAAATGCAGGAAGAGCTTTTCTTCCCCCTCTCTCTTTTCTGTCTAAAGGCAGGATATAAATTCTCCTTTTCTTGAGATTGATTCTTATCCTTCCGGAGATACCGCAAGTGAGCCGTACTCCATTAGTTCCCTCCCATTATTTACCTTCCTAGTTTGTCATTTTTGGAAGCCTAAAACTGATTTCCTTTGTCTTGTTATCCCTATACAAATGTGTTCTTTGTTGATGCTACACAAGCCAGAGTTCTAAACCCCTGCTTTCAGCTACTTTTCACGGAGGGGTCTCCCACATAATGTGTGCTGCATATATTAATAAACTGTTTTTCTCTTATTAATTGGTCCAGCTGAAAACCCAAGATGAGTGAAGTTTTGCCTCCCCTATAGTATTTGCTCCCACCCTTGGTATTGTTGCATTTTTACAACAGGCATGCATTGCTTTGTAGACTTGGATTGCCAGGTTTAGCACAGGTCTGGGATGCTGGGCATTGCAGAGTGCCCCAGTGGTCACTGGGCACAGGCCACCAGCTCCTCCAGGGCTTGCTCGCGGCGGTTGCCGTGGACCAGCAGCACCTCCTTGATCCGGTCCTGCTGGAAGCCCATGTCGCTGAACTGTTCCCAGAGGCGCAGAAACTCCCCTGCCTGTGGAAGGGAAGGCAGAGAGGGCACTGAGGCTTAGCCTCTACTCTGGGGAGCCCCCTCCCTGGTGTCCTCTACTCCCAGAAAGCTGTGGCCCTCACAGGCCAGGTAAACCTGATCCTGGGCCATACCTGCATTTCCTTTGTACCTGTGAGGTGACATGGGCCAAGGAAGGAGGCCCCAGCCGGGCCACTGACTTGGCCCTGGCTTTACTCCCCCACTCCGGCTCTCTCCTGACTACCTGTGCTTGGGGGCTGGGGCCGGAAGAGGAAAGTCAGATACTGGTGCCCAGAGGATGTGTAGTCCAGGGTCTCGGCCAGGCCCCAAACTCTGCCAAGGTTTCACATAGTACAGCTTTGGTGCCCCTTCCTCCTCTGGCACCAGCGCTTTAAACATCCCTGCTTTTCTTCCTTCCTCCTCCTCTATTTCTCCCACCCTTCTGTCCCTTCATCTGCCTCTGTGAAGGGTTGCTCTCGAGCCTGAACCAGCGGCTGAGCACGGACAGGTCATATTCATCGGGCACACAGAAGGCACTGCTGGGCCCACAGCTGCCTATATTCTGGATTCCAGATAGACGGCCAACTCCTTGAGCAGAGAGTTCAAGCATCTTTGTGCTGCCCGTGGCTCCTGTCTGCATGTCTAACAAGGAGAGCGCATTCAATAACACGTGTGCTGACTCAGTTAAATAATACAAAAGCCTTGCCTCTGGTTTCCTCCCCACCTCATCCCCTCACCTTCTGTGCTTTGTCTCCCTGGGCTGTCTGCTCCCCAGGGCTGAGCAAGCAGCTCTCTCCCTGTGGCCCCCAGGCTGGCTCTGGCACCGCATGTCCCTGCACACCAGGCTCGTGTGGATACCCCATCCCTTCTCTGCCTCGGGGCTCAGGCAGGTGGCCGGCTGACCTGGCTCTCAGAGAACTGGAACATCTCCATGGCCTCCTCCACCAGGCCCTCCTCGTAGCCCTGCCGCAGCAGCCGGTCACAGGCACTAAGGTAGCTGAGAAACTGGGCCAGAAAGGGGCAAAGAAGGAGGGGATAAGATGAGTGGCTCAGTGGTTGAGCATCGACCTATGAATCAGAAGGTCACGGTTTGATTCCCGATCAGGGCACATGCCTGGGTTGCGGGCTTGATCCCCAGCAAAGGGCATGCAAGAGGCAGCTGTTCAATGATTCTCTCTCATCATTGTTATTTCTATTTCTCCCTTCCTCTCTGAAATCAATGAAAACATGTTTTACTTTTTTTTAAAAAGGGGAATGGCAGGGGCAGTGGATGGGGTAGAGGAGACAACCCAAGGACCTCAGTAAGGCCTGAGCTCAGGCCAGCTGACTAGGCATCCACCACACATGACATGGCCCCAGAAACCCCATGAACCAATAGAAGAGAAGCAGAGGCCACCTCTGGAGATCTGTGGACAGGTAGACAGCAACAATCCCCAACTAGGGGCTGGGATCCAGGAAAGGGGCTGTTAGGGTGAGCTAAGGTGTTCCCAGAAGCTAAGTGGGGAGTGGGACAGGCCTACAACCCAGGGGTCTCTTCTCACTCACCACCCACCCCAGCCTACTCACCCTCCCTGGTGAGCACCTACCTGTAGGAAGGTGCCATCCATACCTGTATACCCCCACCCCACCCCTAGACACATACATCTCTGCCACCCAGGACTTCATGAGCCCCCACTAAGCAACAGACCTGCATCCATGCTGGAAAGGGGAAGGGACAGAGTGGACCTCACAGGGCTGAAGACCTGTTCTGGTCACTTCCTGCCTAGTCCTCGGGGGCTGCTTTGGCCCTCAGGATGAAGTGCTGCCTCCCAACCGGGGCTCAAAGGCCGGTTCCTGCCTGTCAGTCACCTCTGCTCCTCCCCCAGCCCCCTAGGCCCCTCAGCAAGGGCAGCCTCACTCCTCTTACCTGGGGATCCTCTCTGCCTCGTTTCTAAGGTGCCATGTTTGGTGGCCCCACAGCACATACAACTTTGTAACTGCTCTACTGCTTTTCTCATCTTTCTCATCCACTGGCTTTTCGCTCCATGAGGGAAGGGTTGTGTCACCACTGTGTCCCAGCACCCAGCATGGCAGGCAGAAGGAGCTTGATAAATACATGCTGTGTTTATAACGTGAATTAAGAACCACCTTCAAGGAGCTCACAGCTCAGTGGGGGAGATAAACCAGATACTGGAAATCATGAGGCCCAGACAAATCAAAACAGAATTTATAGGGAGTCAGTGCCAAATGAAGTTAGTGCCAGACCATAAGAATTGTGGGTATAAGCGAAGAAGAAAGAGGCTGGGTTTCTGCAGACCTTCAGAGCTAGGCAGGAAGCATGGACCATACAAACTAATGGTTTCAGCTTCTGAACTGTCCAAGCACTTGCCCCAGGACACCTAGACCTTGCTCTGAGCACAACTGGAAAACCACCCAGCCAAGCCCTCCTTGCACACCTGAGGAAACGGAGGTCCAGGCAATGCAGGCAGCTTGCCCAGGGTCCCAGAACTAGGGCCTAGATCACCTAATCTCGAGCTAAGGCCTTGTCCATCGTGGGGCCACTACTAGAGGAGGAGCTTGAGCGTAAAAGTAGACAGAGTTTCTGAAGGTGAAAACTGGAGTGGGGGCAACGGCAGATGGGAGATCTCCCTCACCTCTTAGCTCATCCACAGCAATGGATCTTGGCCTTAGTGTTGACTGTAGCTACCTGGGAGTTTTAAAACTACCCATAAACTTCCCGACCAGCATGGCTCAATGGTTGAGCGTTGACCTATGAACCAGGGGGCCATGGTTCGATTCCCGGTCAGGGCACATGCCCGGGTTTGCGGGCTTGATTCTAAGTGGGGGGCATGCAGGCAGCCAATCAATGATTCTCTCTCATCACTGATGTTTCTATCTCTCCCTCTCCCTTCCTCTCTGAAATATATATTTTAAAAACTACCCATAAACCATTTTTTCTTGCCTCCAGAATCTCTGATCTGGGGGGTGCCGCCTGGGCACTGGGACTCTTATAGCTCTCCAGGGGATTCTAATAAGAAGCCAAGGTTGAGGACCACTTACTCAAGGGAGAGCTGTCCTTAGTCCAGACTACAGGATCCCATGCCAGGCTGCATATCAGAACCATCTACAGGTGTTTGAAAATAACAGGCTCTTGAGGGTACTCCAGAGCCACTGATGGGGACCCTCCCGAATAGGTCCTGGGAGTCTGCATTTGTAAAGATTCTGCTGCTTGGTCAGTTTTGGGGCCTATGGGACTGTAAAAGCCACCAGGCCTGCCTCAGAACCCAGGATGGGGCCCCCACAAGTCTATAAGCATATGTCCCCCCCCCCCATTCTGTGAATAGGGAAAGTGAGACTCAAAGAGGCGCCCTGATGTGCCTGGAGTCATATGGCAAGTCTGGGCCTGGCCTATGGGCCCTCACATGTGCCACCCATGTGTCCTGCAGGCAGTCAGTGGGCACTTTGATCCTTGTGGAAGGAAGGAAGGAGCAATGGACAAAGCTTATCTTTTGTGTCTCCTTCGTTCTCCCTGGCTCTTCGAAGTGAAGATCGCCTGATGTCGTACCTTGTGAGCCGTCTCTGGCCATAACGGATGTACTGTAGTATATATGTTTCAAGGGGAGAAAGAAACTGAACCCAAAGGAGTTTCTTAGTTAATGGAGGAACTTCAGAGAATAGAGAAAAATACTAACTTGGTGCAGGAGGATAGATGAAGTCATCCAATGGCCCTTCAGGCCCACCCCTCAGGGCCTAGCCCTTGCCCAGCGGGGAGGACGGCCACCCAGAGACCCGGCGGGCCAGCCAGGTGGTCAGTCTATGTCTGGAAACACAATGTTCCTGATACAGTGGGATTCTTCCAGGCCACCCACAGGGAGGCCAGTGCCTCTGCTGGCTCCAACTAATCTTCAGATCTTCACAGCAATGGCCTGAGACCTCAGCCTTGTCACCAGTCCTAGAGACTAGGGTTGGGGGGACATGTCAGGGCCCCCTCTGTGGACCTGGCCCCTCACAATCCTCGGTGTAGCTCCTTGGCCATGGTCCTGGCTTTCAGTGGCAGCTGAAGGGGGAGGCAACTTTAGATTTATTCTTAAATCTCAGATGAGCCTGGGGTGCTGCCCTGAAAGGTTCTCACACAGAAAATGAGAGAAAAGCATTGAACAACAAAGATTCCGAGCTAACCAGCCTGTGCCCCCATCTGCAAAGTGAGGATAGTAACAGCAACCTTGAAGAATTGAGAAGACCTAATTGTATACTCTCAGACTGAGGGACTGGCACACAAAAAAGTGCTTATAAATATTAACACCACGAATGTGTATACTCTCAGACTGAGGGACTGGCACACAAAAAAGGTGTTTACTAAATATGAACACCCCTAATTCCTGATTGATGAAGGGATATAAAGGTCTGACCATCTCAGCCCCACTTAGGATGACTCTGAAGGGCCATATTTGCTCCAGAGCTGAGGGGATGGCTGACCCTGTCGTTGGGTCTACAAAGCTCAACCTCTCCATCTACCCACTCCTGCTTCTGTCCACTCCCTTCTCCAGGGGTTGATCCCAAGAGCCTCCTTAATTAACTCCATCTGCGTCAGATTCCTGGGGAATCCAACCTACAACAGTGGTTTTTATGTACCCTGGTTTCCCTCATACCTCCTAGCCACATCTAAACACCCAGGAAGTACCCAATAAATACTGTTGACTAGATGGATAGGTGGGTATGGCTAAACTGAACACAGTTCCTTCGTTGAGGAAAGTGGTTAGAGCTGCACCATCCAATAGTAGTCACATGTAACTATTTTAATTAATTACAATTACAGAAAATTCTCAGTCACACTAGCCACATTTCAAGTAATAACGTATGGCTGGTGGATACTGTATTGGACAACAGGTACAAAACATCTCTCATTACAAAAAGTTCCATTGGGCCGCTGTAGAGATTCTTGGCTGCCCAAAGCTCCAGCCCCTGCATTTGGGGCACAAACCAGGAGAGGAGTAAAATATCAAGACTCCCCCAAGTGAGCATGGGGGTTCCTGCTAAACTCCTATGCAGACGGTAGCTTTAGGATCTAGAAACTTGCTCATACCGCCCAGTAATTAATGCCAGGCTGAGATTCTGCCTCTGAAGAGAAAGAAACAAAATTTCTTCAAGTTAAAGGTAAAACCACGTGGCCACCCATCTGGTTCCAGCTCCAGGCCCCCAACTCTGGAGGATCACTCACCTGGCTCAGGCTCTGACGCCCCGTCTTCTGCAGAGCCACGATGGCCCTATGCAGGGGATACCCCAGGGCGACCACTGGCCCGATGAGGTCTTGCTCCTCTTGGCTAAGGGCGGACAGCAGGTCAGCAGAATCAGGCTGTGCTCTGTGGGCGATGAGAGGCTGGGGCTCCCGCACAAGAGGTGGCAGGCAGGTGTATGGGCTGAGGGACTGAAATACAGACAAGTTGGATGCGTCATTTACCACTGGGAGCAACATCTGGTTGGGCAGGACATTTTTAAAGGTGCCTTTGCATGCCACCTCCTATACAGAGTGTAGGGGCGAGTGCTGTGGAGAGCTTGGAGTCCTGCTCTGGTTCAAACCCCAGATCTCTACTGTTTACTCCATTTACTCATATGTGAAATGGAGGCAATCATACTAGATACCTCAAGGGTTGTTTCGAGGCTTAAATAAGACAATGTGAGAAAAGTATGTAGCAAAGGACCTGCATACATTTCACTTACAGGCTAACAGGGGTGGGCAAACTTTTTGACTCGAGGGCCACAATGGGTTCTTAAACTGGACCGGAGGGCCGGAACAAAAGCATGGATGGAGTGTTTGTGTGAACTAATATAAATTCAAAGTAAACATCATTACATAAAAGGGTACGGTCTTTTTTTTTTTTTTTTTTAGTTTTTTTCTTTTCAAACGGGCCGGATCTGGCCCGCGGGCCGTAGTTTGCCCACGGCTGGAGAATAACCCTGCTCCTATTGTACCATTTTACAGATATTGAAATCAAGGTTCAGAGAGTTAATGACCTGATAAGCAGCACACATTTGGGACCTGAACCCTATTCAAAATCAAACCCAGGTTCTTTACCCCACACTTTAGGGCAGCGGTTCTCAACCTGTGGGTCTCGACCCCTTTGGTGGTCGAACGACCCTTTCACAGGGGTCGCCTAAGACCATCTTGCATATCAGATATTTACATTACGATTCATAACAGTAGCAACATTACAGTTATGAAGTAGCAACGAAAATAATTTTATGGTTGAGTCACAACATGAGGAACTGTATTTAAAGGGCCAGAAGGTTGAGAACCACTGCTTTAGGGGGATCTTCCCAGCCAGACTCTCATTCTTGAATTTGGCTGGGCTGAGACTTGGCAGGGCACAGAGAGGGGTACAGACCAGGCGCAGTTCTGGTGTCGGGCTAAGATGGGTGGCTTCAAGGCCTTTCAATTGGCCTGGCCAATATCAACCCCAAGCCTTCCCCCATGAAGAGGCACCTATCTGCCAGCCCTGAATACACTGCCTTGTCCTCTCCTCCCCAAGCCCCACTGCCTTCGCTCCTGGGGTAGAGTGTGTGTGACATATAAATTCCCACTCCATCCCCATCTACTCAGGGGGTTCTCTGCCATGACCTTACCCTTGGGTCTGCCCGCTCCTGGGGTAGAGTGTGTGTGACATATAAATTCCCCCTCCATCCCTCAGGGGGTTCTCTGCCATGACCTCACCCTTGGGTCTGCTCTTGAGCCCCCCCAGTGGAAAACATCAAAATCTTAGGATCTGAGTCTATTCTTGTGACCTTAAAAAAGATTCTTAGCTGCTGTCTGCCCCAGTTTCCTTCTCTACAGAACATCTGCCACACACACACACACACACACACACACACACACACACACGGTTGTTGCTAGAGTTATTTTAATCTGGATCAGGGAAGAGCCATCCTGGCATTAACATCTGGCCCTTGATGTGGGCACGGCCAGTCCAGCTCACAGAGCCTCTTCTCTCTGTTTGCTCCCAACGACGGTGAGAAGGGTTGCTGGCCCTCTTTACAAGGTGGAGAAGGGATGGCTCAGAGCACTTCAGCGACTTGCATAATATCACACACCAGTGAGTGGAAAAGCCAGGCCTCGAGTCTCTTTTGGATTTAATTTCATGTTGGCCTTATTCTTTTGTACCTACTGGCTTGACTGGGGCCGCTGAGGGGACAGAAAGCTGTGCCCTATTGCTACCTCCTGCTACTAATCCTGACCCACCCCATCTACTCAGGATCTAGGTTGTGTGGAATTTGGTGCTTATACAATTTGGACCTCTTAAATTAAAAAAGACAGAATTATACATATAAAATTAGGCATAACGCTTTGGAAAGAGCCAAGTCAGAGCCTGAGGCTTAGCTTCATTGGTTTCATGGTAAATTCACTTGTGCTCCCCATTCTGCTGGGTACAGCCTTCTGCCCCCAGCTTTCCCAGCCTGTAACACCCTCACCTCTCTCTCAACACCCCATCCCACCCCTACACAGGGCTGCCTTGTCTCCACACCCCCTTGGGCGATTGTCCAGTGGTTTTGACTTTGTCTCTTCCAACACAGTGTCTGGCAGGAACTTACAGGCAGTGACTATTCCCTGATTGAGCGCCCAGCTCACCGAGTCTTCAGCAAGCCTTGCCCAGCGAGCCCTGGATTTGAGTTACATTCATTGAGCACCCCCTAGGGGCCCAGTCTGCTGCTGGGTGCTCTGGAAACACAAATGAATGCGATCCAACCCCTGCCCGAAAAGAACATGAGCGCATATTCCACGGGAGGAGAGAGACAGGCACTGGATAACCACAGTTATGTGGCATGAGCCCGAGCAGAGGCAGAGCAGGCACAGTGCGAAACAGAGGGAATGGGAGCCCTCTGAGCGGGACCATTCTAGGCAGAGGCTGCAGGAAGAGCCGCAGGTAAGGCTAGGGAGGAGGGGCACAGAGAGGAGGGACCGTAGCTGTGGACCTGGCTGGGGACCAGACTGTGGGGGCCTTGCTGCTGATCTTGGCAGAGCCGGCAAGGTCCTTACCGCGACTGTGGGCTTGTGGCTCCGCAGCGGGGGCACCGCACCA